TGAGAGATATACTTTGGTTAATTTGAGGGTCTGTTTGCAATTTTACCTATATTATTTAGCATACAAATCCTTTTACAAAAGTAATCTTGCTTTTTATATTTACGTTTATCTTCCAAACTTTAAGTTTCTACATTCACATCTTTCTTTTACATTGTTCATTTATTCTTAGTTAGTTCCAAATCTTTATTTTATTATTATCATTACAGAAAACGTTATGAGAGATAAATCTTGTTGAGTTTTTAAGTTTTAACTGGTTCAATCAAGCATGCCATTTTTCTCAAATTTTATTTCTAACATTGTGATCAATTTAACGAACAAGAAAAGGTAAACAAAAATTCTTGTTAGATAAATTCCAGATCATATTATTTTGTGGTAAAAATTCTCAAAAAAAAATTTACGAGTTCTCACAAAAATTATCATTAAACATCTCTATAACTAATTTTCATTAAACAGTTGGTCCTAGTGAAGAGATATGATTCATATTTTACAGTGATTGATTACATCAAACAATGTAGCACACAGTACTACTGTAAATGTAAGAAACTTAACCAATTTCTATAGAAAATTTACTAAAATGCTCTGTTATAAATTTAGATTATTAGTTACGGGTCGTAATAAACGGGAATAAACGACCGAATCGTTTAAAAACACTTGCTAAGCAATAGTACAACTTCTGTACTTTTATTACACGTGTCACAAACCAAAGATCATTTCCACTGCCACGTATTCGATCACGTGGCTTTGTCCTGAGCTTTCTCTAATGCAATGGTTTAACCACAGACCACGAACGAACGAAGAACAATACTAACAGAGCCTTCACAAGAGATGTTTCGATTCAATTTTCGTCGTGAAATCTCCAAATCTACCGGAATTTATCACCGGAAAATCCACAGCGGTCTAGAAGATGCCGGTCCGATGGCGTCTCGGCTCAAATCACGTTCCGTTGTCCGGTTTAGCGGACCGGATACGGTTAAGTTTCTTCAAGGTTTGTTAACCAACGATGTAAGAAGATTCGGCGAATCCTCCGGCGAGAAGAACTCGGCGGTTCCTACGCCGAACATGGCTTCCGTTTCGACTCCGCCTATGTACGCGGCGTTGTTAACTCCTCAAGGAAGGTTTCTATACGATTTTTTCTTGTATAGCCCTTCGAAATCCGAGGAAAAGCTTAATCGGACTGGTTCAGGACCCGGGTCGGATTCGGGTCATGATGGGTCGGTTGAGTTGTTTGCTGATGTTGATGTTGACGTCCTCGATGAATTGCTTGAAACTCTCAAAAAGTAAGCTTTTTAAAGAAAAAATTGAAAAAATTAGGTCTTTAGGGATCTCAGTGTTAGCAATGTCAATGTAGATTAGGGTTTATTGACTTATAGATGATTATAAGATAATGCTTATGTTTTGATTTAGATGTTATCTCTATTGATTTTGCTGGAATGAGTAAAAAGCTCAGATTTTTAGAGAAGGAACGACTCTCTTGTTAGTATTATTTCTGATTTGTGTGTTCTGAATGTTGATAGGTATCGGTTGAGGTCCAAAGTGGATATAGAAAACGTTGGGGAGGAGTTTTCGTGTTGGCAGCGATACGGTAGGAATCTTTCTGGATCATCATCTGTCGGTTGGGGCGGTGGTGTTGATCGTGCTGGTGAGTCTACAGCTAGTGGTAATAAGTATGGATGGCAATGGTATAAGGATCCAAGGTTGGAATGTCTCGGTTACAGAAGTATCTTTCCGGCCGATGCAACTCGTGAGTTTCTTAATCGAATAGAAGCTTTTATGTCATGAGCTTAAGCGAAAGCTTACGAATTTGGGGGGTTATTTTGTTTGTTTTGCAGCTCCTTTAGTTGAAGCAGATAAAGAAACAGATGAAAGCAATTACCTTTTATGGAGATTAGAGCATGGAGTTGCCGAAGGATCAGCTGAAATCCCTAAAGGTATTATCCGTTTCTTTTGTTTTTAACTCATTGTTCTCGTCTTCGTATTTACAACATGTTTTTGTGGCGTTTACAGGCGAAGCAATTCCGCTTGAGTATAATTTTGTTGGTCTTAATGCGATAAGCTTTGACAAAGGCTGTTATGTTGGTCAAGAGCTTATAGCTCGTACCCATCACCGAGGTGTCATCCGCAAACGCTTGATCCCATTACGATTCATCGATAGCAATGGAAAAGGTAAACTGAATTTCCCTACAAAGAAAATCGAATATCTCACATCTTATGATCAAGAAAGCAACTTCTGGTCTTAAACTAAATTTTCGTATAAACTGCAGAGGTAAACCAGAAGATCGCGGCTGGAGCTGAAGTAGTTGAATCAGGAACGGGCAAGAAAATGGGAACGGTTTCAACGGCTTTGGGTAGCCGGGGAATGGGTGTAATGAGGGTAGAGGAAGCCTTTAAACCATCAGCTGAATTAACAGTAAAGGACTTAGAGGACGTGAAAGTCGAGGCAATCAGACCAACATGGTGGCCAGCTGAATGGTTCCAACAGAATCAATCAGGAGTTGCTGCAGCTTAGTAACAACTCAAGGTAAAATAATCTTTTTACAAAATTTTATGATTTTACTTGATAAGAGTTGAGGATTGAATGGTCTCTTTAGTAATGGAAATTTGTTCCTTCTGTCAGATTATTTTTGCAGTTTAAAAAATAAAGTTGAATACTTTCCGGCGAGGTATTCTGGATCGGGAAGCAACAAGCTCGTCGCTTTCATTGTATTCCACTGTTTAACTAATAAATGTTGGAACCTTCCGGCGAGTTTTAGCCGCCAGATAATTTTGTACTAATTGCTACAAATTTGGTTGTCTTATCAAATTTCTATATAAGCGTAAATAAATCAAAATTTCAAAAAGAAGGAGAACGTTTGGTTTTGAATCATGGTATGTTTTTAAATAACCTTGGTCCGATTCCGGTTAAGTATCCGGTTTACTAATTTGGCCCTTCCTGTGGTATTACTATAATTTCATTGAGAATGGAAAACAGAGACGGCTCTGGCTGTTTAGGGAATCTTCCGTAGTTCCGTAATCTTTTCCGTTTGTTTTCTTGTAACGCCGTTAAAGTCTCCATATATAACAGATATATGTATGTTCTCTAGCTCATGAGAGAGCATTGTAAAACAAGTTAGGGTTTTTGTTTTTTAGAGTTTTTCTGTGCATACAAGGTGCTCGACGAATTGACTGTGAGACAGAAACTAGAAAAAGACTCTCTCAACATGTCTTTTGCAATGTTCGAAGAACAAAAGCTTCATAGGAGAGGTGATTACACTTTATGGAAGACGAGAATCCGTGCTCATCTTGGTGTTCTTGGTTTGATGGACGCTTTAAAGATTGAGGAAGAAGATGGAAACAAATATGTTAGAATAGCTGAAGATGAGAAACTTTCTGCAAATTTGAGTCCTGGTCTTGAAGAAAAGAACAAAAAGGCAAGGAGCATGATCATTCTCAGTGTAGGAGATAAGGTTCTGCGAAAGATTATGAAGGAAGAAACAGCTACTGGTATGTTACAAGTTCTAGACAAATACTATATGACTACTTCTTTAGCAAGGAGGTTTTACTTGAGAGAGAAGTTGCATAGTTTTAGGATGAATGAAAGAAAGTCTGTTATGGAGAATGTTGATGAGTTTCACAGGTTGATTGATGAATTAGGTAATGCTAAAGTAGAGATATCTAATGAAGACCAAGCTATATTTTTGTTGGTTTCTTTACCAGAGCAGTTTGATGAGGTTAGAGATTCGGTTACGTATGGTAAAACAAGCTTGACAGTAAATGAAGTCATTGATGCTGCATTGTCCAAAGAGATGGAATTAGGTGAAAGTTATAGAGGATATGATAAAAAAGTATAGAGAGAGGTCAAGAACAAGGATTGAAGTAGAAAAGTTTGATGGGAGAGGTGATTACATCTTATGGAAGACGAGGATTCTTGCTCGTTTTGAGATTCTTGATTTGATGGAAGCTTTAAAGATTGAGGAGGAGGATGGGAACAAATCTGTTGGAACAGGTCTAGAAGAGAAGAAGAGAAAAGCAAGGAGCATGATAATTCAGAACATAGAGAATCAAGATCTGCGAAAGAAAATTATGAAGGAGGACACAGCTGCTGGTATGTTTCAGGTTCTCGACAAACTCTATATTACTAGATCTTCAACTAGCAGGACTTACCTACAGTATAAGCTGTGTAGTTTTAGGATGAATGATAGCCAGTCTATAGAGGAAAACATTGATGAGTTTGAGAAGTTAGTTGATGATTTAAGTAATGCTAAGGTCTCTATATCTGATGAAGACCAAGCTATACGTTTGTTGATTTCTTTACCAAAGCGATTTGATGATCTTAGAGACGTGCTAACGTATGGTAGAACAAGCCTTACACTAGACGAAGTAATTTGTGCTGTACTATCCAAAGAGTTGAAATTTGGTTCTGAAGGATATAAAGAAACTGCAAAAGAACTTGATGTGAGAGGCAGGTCTGTTAGTAGAGATAGGTCAAAATCCAAAGGAGAGAAAGGTGCTTGTTGGATTTGTGGGGAAGATGGCCACTACAAAAACGAGTGTCCATCTAGGAACTTTGAGAAGCCGAATAAGGAACGTACTTATAAAAAAGGAGAAGCATCTGTTACAAGAAGGTAAAATGCTCGAGCACTTAAGAAAGATGCAGCTTTGTGGGAAGCTCCTTTGGTGCCAATGTATCTCTTGTAACTTTGATTGGTAACTAGCAAAAGCTTACTAATTTTTGGTGTTACTTGTTTGTTTCGCAGCATCGTAAGTTGAGGCAGATGGAGAAACACACAAAACAACTACCGTTTATGGAGATTGGAGCATGGAGTTGTTAACGGCGGCCTGGCAGGAGCGTAGTAATCACAATTTCGATAAACCTATCTTAGCAGTTTTACTTGGAGAGTTTAATTTCAACAACAGCTTGATGTGAAAGGTTTTCGTTATTTGTTAAGACTTCAATAGTTGCACTAATGATGCTATTACAAATTCCAAACCACTTATTAAATTCATTTTAAACCTTAAAACACACAAAATTAGAATTTCCAATTTGGATTTGAAAACCTTGATAACTAAAATACATAAACTTTTCTTAAAATAGAGCTTACGTGTGACCCAAGTTATGCAATAAAATAGATAAAACCCTAATTTCAATCCTCTGTTCCAAGAATCATCATTGATCGTAGAGCACAGTCCGACACATCGGGCAAGTGTTTTTGCGGTAGAGCCACTCCACGAGACAGCCCTTATGGAAGACATGGGAACAACTCATGCGAGTGGGTGATGTTTTCGAACTGGAGAAAAGACTCTGTAGACAAATTGAACACGACTCTGTTTCCATGTTCACACTCTTCAACTCCTCTGCTTTTATCCTCCCTAGTAAAACCATCCTCGATACCTTTAATGAGGCCTCGTCCACACGTTCGTACTGGTAAGTAACTGTGACGCTCACGTTCAATTCAACGCCGTTGTACCCAAAACCTGAGTTGATTGCAGCCGTTGAGATCTTTGGGACTAAGTATTCGCACAACCAATGGTCGTCGCTATGGAGTCGATCGTAGAGTAACGATTGGATGTGGTGGTGACTACAACTAGGGACACTGAAATTGATGCGAAGTGAATTATAGGAAAGCGGAGTGGACTTTACGGTTCGATGGCCAGTGGCAGGGTTTATAAGGGTCTCATCCTTTATGGTATTGATGATGAGCAGGATTGAGTTTGTATATTCTTCTGATGAAGAGAGACTTCTCTCAGCTTGGACATGAACTTCCACTACGGGATTGGGAATGGGATCATTCATGTTTGAAAGAGGTTTCTCAAAAATATTCTTAAGAGATTCACAAGAAGTCGTAAATTGAGAGAGAAGAGAATTGTGAAGATTTAGGGTTCGGTAGTAAGAGATATATAAGCGTGTTCAACTATAGGTTTCCTTTTATCTATGATTTATTGTTTATCTCACCAAAATAATATTAACTATATCTATGATTTTTTGTTTGCAAAATACCCTATTCCATTTTTTTCTCTTTTTAAAACTACTCCCTCCGTTTTCGAATAGTTGTCGTTTTAGAGAAATTTTTTTGTTTTTAATTAGTTGTCGTTTTCAGTTTTCGATGCAAAATTTATTACTTTTTATTTTTTATATTTATTTTTATTATGCAACTTGATTTACTATTGGTTAAATTATGTTTAGGTAGATAATTAATGATATTTTTATATTGAAAAACTAACAACATTAATAGTTTATTAATTTGTGTGCATATAGTTAAAACGACTACTATTCGAAAACGGAGGGAGTATTTTTTATATATAAAATTACTAAAATAGCCTCAATAAAGTTAGTAATAATTAAAAAGAATTATCATTAAAACAGAAAATCCATTAGCTTAATTTTTAAATTAAAAATTGATGTAACTAACAATTTTAAAGATAATTCTTATCTTTAGATATTTTTTTAAATAATTTAAATTCTTGGAATGTTGGAGATTGATGTGAAAAATATTATAGACTTTAGAATGTTTACAGATATTATCTTGTTAAATTTTCCTATATAGAATGTTTATTATTTTTTTCTCTTAAATTTCGAATTTATTTTTAATTTATTAAAAATACAGTGTTTTAAATGTGGATAAAATTGTCATTTTACATATTAAAATTTTTTTTTTTTATGTTTTTGGTACGAAAATATTGTATTTTTTTTTATTGAAAATAGGGAAAAGTGTATTTTTCAAACAACAACTCATAAATAGGGTAGTTTTCAAAATCTCCAAAACAAAAACTTATTTTTCTTAAGTTTACTCTATATAGTTTTTGCTTAATTTTGTTATTTAGGAAATTATAACTCTTTGATTGTATTATTTACAGTGGATTGCATTGTTAATTTTTGTTATTAAGATTAAGATTACTAATATTGAATATATTTAACAAGTAATTTGATATTTGTCTAAAATATTAATGAAAATTTAACAAAAAAAATTCAAATGAAATAATATATATTTTTAATATAAAAATTATAATCATGATCTCTATATTTTTGCTAAAAAAAGAAAAATATTTATGAGATAACCATTGGGCATCTCACCAATGGAAGTTATATTTAATTTCAAATAAATTAGATAATTTTGAAAACTACCATATTAATCAGTTTTTGTTTGAAACATACACGGTTCTCTATTTTCAATAAAAACTACAATTTTTTTGTACCAAAAAAATAAAAAATATAATTTTTAATATGTAAAATGACAATTTTATCCACATTAAAAATGCTGTATTTTTAATAAATTAAATTAAATTCGAAATTTAAAATAAAAAATAATAAACTAAATTCGAAATATTAATTATTTTTAACTATTTTTGAGATAAAAACAGTTTATTTATTTTATATATTAAAATTTAACAAGATAATATATAAAGAAAGTTTGAGATAAAATTTTCAATAAAAAAAAATCAATCTCCAACCCTCCAAGAATCGTAAATTATTTAAAAATAATATTAAAGATAAGAATTATCTTCAAAATTGTTAGTTACATCAAATTTTAATTTAAAAATTAAATTAATGGATTTTCTGTTTTAATGATAATTCATTTTAATTATTACCAACTTTTAGTGAGGATATTTTAGTAATTTTATATATTAAAAATAATTTTTGAAAGAGAAAAAAAAACAATAGGGTATTTTTCAAACAAAAAGTCATAAAGAGGGTACTATTTTTCTACATTTACTCAATTTTTTTACTAGACATGGTTTTATCAAAATGTTGACAAAAATATCAAAATATAATTTTTAATTTTTTAAATATCTGTTTTTTAATTATTATATTTATTGTATGAACTAAAACAATATTAGTTTAATATTTTGTATTAACATTAAGTAATATCAATGAAAATTAGACACAGTGGAGCTTTATACACATATAATTTTATTTTATCATTTATAAAAATTAAAAAAATAACAATACATACACTACTTTAATTAATATACTAAACTCTGAGATAATTGATTTATCAAAACAAGAAACCAATTATAAAATGAAAAAAAATGTTCATGTTTAAATGAGAGAGATGGTTTATCTCATTTGAAACCCAAAATGAAGATGGCCTAAGAAGTTTCCTCTCTCTTTTTTTTGGTCTATTGGATCGACATATTACGAATTATTGCAGCCAATGGTAATTCTAGGTGGATATGTAAGTGTCAATATTTCCTAACTTTGATTGGAGACAAAAAAAATCTTACTGATTCCTAATTTTGATTGGAGACAAGCAATATCACGATTTCGAAAATCAATCTCAACAGCTTTTTGATATTACAAACTGATTTAAAACCCTAAAACACACACACACACATTCAATTTTTTGTGTGAGTTGTGACACAAAATTAGAATTTATAACTTCGATTGGAAACCTTAATAACAAAATTACATTATTTTCCCAAAAAACTAAAGCGTTGTGAAATCAGTAGATGAAGCCCTAATTAATTTCAGTCCTTGGTTCCAGTCATCATTCGTAGAGCTCAGTCCGACACAGGGGACAAGTGTTTTTACGTTTGAGCCACTCCAAGAGACAGCGATTGTGGAAGACATGGGAACAAGCCATCCGTGTTAGGCCGATAGGTTTCGGACCGGATAGATTCTCGAGACAGATGGAGCACGACTCTGTGTCCATCTTCAAGCTCTTCAATTCCTCTGCTTTCACTCTCCCTAGCAGAACCATTCTCAATGATTTCTCGACGTTTGACGTAACGAAGACGGTCTGGTAAGTAACTGTAACGGTCATGGTCAAGGTAAAGCCGTTGCGTCCAAAACCCAAGTTGATGGCCTCCGTTGAGATCTCTGTGGCTAAGATATCGCACAAGCAACCCCAAGGGTAGCCAACTAATCGATCGTGGAGAAGCGTTCGGATGTGGTCGAGACTAGAACTACGGAGATTGATATCGATGAGAAAAGGTGGTGAAACCTGAGTGGGCCGGCGCCGGGTTTGATGACCGGTTGTTGGGTTTTCAAAGATCTCTTCAGATTTGGTGTCGATGACAACGATGACTGAGTTTGGTTGTGCTGGAGAGAGTTCCTTGCGATTGATGATGCTAAATTCCACTTTGCGAGAATTCATGTTTTGAAACGAAAAGAGAAAATCCCAAAAATATTCAAACAGAGAAGAAGAAGAAGAGATTCGCAAATCGTAATGAGAGCAAATTGAGAGAGAAGAGAATTGTGAATAGCTTTAGGGTTACGTATACGTAGTGAGGATATATATAAAAAAGCGTGTTCAACGGTCATATCATATATGATATATCTCAGGTTCTAGTTTCCTTTTTTCTTTGTTACCTAACAATTTCCTTTTTTCTGCCACAAAGCAATTTCCTTTTTTTTTTTTTTGGGCTTATGGGTCGATAATTTTCGAATTATTGGAGCCAATGTTAATTCCAGGTGGATATCTAATTCTCCTTTAAATGATTCATTAGTGGCTAACATTTGTTATTTCTTTTGTTATTCAAAACTACCTGTATATTATAGAGAATAGAGATAGGTCAAAATCGATCCAAAGGAGAGAAAGGGGCTTGTTGGATTTAATTTGTGGGGAAGATGGCCACTAGTGTCCATCTAGGAACTTTGAGAAGCCGAATAAGGAACATACTTATGAAAAAGGAGAAGCATCTGTTACAAGAAGGAATACACCTGCAGCTTTGTGGGAATTCCTTTTGGTGCCAATGTCTCTCACTAAGTGTCGATATTTCTTAACTTCGATAAACCAATCTTTAACAATTTTACTTAGAGCTAGAGTTTGATTTCAGCAACAGCTTGGTGTGAAAAGGTTTTGGTTATTATTAGTTAAGACATTACGAGTTGCATGTAAACTTAAAACCAGCACAGTTGCAAGTAATGGTGCTATTACAAATTTCAAACCTCTTCTTGAATAGATTTAAAACCTTAAAACACACAAGATTAAAATTTCCAACTTCGATTTGAAACATTGATAACTAAATTACATAAACTTTTTCTTAACAAGAGCGTACGTGTGACCCAAGATATGCAATAAAGTAGATAAAACCCTAGTTTCAGTCCTCTAGAGAACAGTCCGACACATCGGGCAAGTGTTTTTGCGGTAGAGCCACTCCACGAGACAGTCGTTGTGGAATACATGGGAACAACTCATGCGAGTAAGTGTTTTCGAACTGGAGACTAGACTTTGGAGACAGATGGAACAAGACTCTGTTTCCAGATTCAAACTCTTCAATTCCTCTGCTTTGATCCTCCCTAGTCGAACCCTCAATACCTTTAATGATGTCTCGTCGACACAGACGTACGGGTAAGTAACTGTGACGTTCATGGTCAAATCAACGTCGTTGTACCCAAAACCTGCGTTGATTACAGCCGTTGAGATCTTTGGGACTAAGTGATTGCACAACCAATGGTCGTTCCTATGGAGTCGAAACTGGAGTAACAACTGGATGTGATGGTGACTACAACTAAGTAGACTAAAATTCATGGGAATATAGGAAAGCGGAATGGGCTTTAGGGTTCGATGGCCAGTGGCAGTGGAAGGATTTACAAGGATCTCATCCTTTTTGGTATTGATGGTGAGGAAGACTGAGGTTGTATATTTTTCTGATGAAGAGAGACGTCTCTCAGCTTGAACCTGAACTTCCACTACGGGTTTGGGAATTGGATCATTCATGTTTGAAAGAGGCTTCTCAAAAATATTCTTAAGAGATTCACAAAAGAGAATTTGCAAATCGTAACGAGAGAAAATTGAGAGATGAAAGAATTTGTGAAGCTTTAGGGTATCGTAGTTAGGGAGATATATATACATATGTTGCAGATTCTAGTTTCATTTTTTTCTTTTCTTTGTCAATTTACGAATTATTTTCTTTAAATATTGATTCTTGTGGATAAAGTCGTTATTCTTTTTGTTTACCAAAACTACCTAATTAAGATAGGACTCGAATTTATTAAAAACAAAAAAATTAAATTACATTTTCTATTCCTTGCCGTAGGTAGAACGTGTGACACCAAATTAGAATTTCTAATCAACTTCGACTGGAAACTTTAATAACTAAATTACATGAAATTTCTAAAGAAAATAGTGCGAGTGACCCAAGTTATCAATCAGTAGATGCCCTAATTTCAATCCTTAGTTCCAATCATCGATCCTAGAGCACTGTAAAACACAACAGACAAGTGCTTTACGCTTGAACAACTCCAAGAGACACGATTGTGGAAGACATGGGAACAAGTCATCCGTGTTAGGTCGATAGGTTTTAGACCGGAGAGATTCTCGAGGTAGATGGAACACGACTCTGTTTCCATCTTCAAACTCTTCAATTCCTATGCTTTTGATAAATCAACTGGTTTATGTGTTTAAATGCTCTGAAATAGAAACCATTGGAAACCATTGACATTATTTATTAAATACACACAAATGACGGATATTCGGGAAAGAGCCGGAAAATATCCGAAAAGCCTTCGGTTCCTAATCGATTCTTATTTAAGAAACTAAAATACCCAGATCGGACCAAACTCATAAATGATGGATGGTCCAAAAACTAATGATTTATTAAATACACATAAATAAACCGAAAACTTCAACTGTTTCTAATTCTGAACATTTAATAACTATCATTTCATTCTTTATCCTCTCCAAAAGTTAATGGCGCTTAGCACAAGCTCCGACTCTAAATGGTTTTATTGTAATTCTTTCGAAGTTGAGGCCCATTGATAACGTTTATTTTTCATCCGTCTGGGACAAAATCTCCTATTGTCTCTTACTTAATTACCTTTCCCATTTTTGTTTATGCGCAAATCTTCTCTATTACTAATATATAAATTGGATAAATCAAACAAATAAACATGTAAAACTAAGGTTTGAAAACTGTTTTCGGATTGCGGTGCTTGTGGCAACATCAAAACATGTTTTTTTTTGTTTGTCATCCGAAATTAATTAAAATTCAAAAGAACCATTCCTGAGGAATGTTGTTTACAAATGTGATATGAAGCGGTTCTGTACGAACTTTTTGTGTCAGATTATCCGCTTTGACATTAGCTCTACGAGAAATGAAAGATAAAGAAAAAGATGAAAACTCCTCTTTGTCGCTCTGAAATTCCTCCAAATACACTGAAAACACCGACCATTCGGTTGGAGAAGACACCATCTTCACCAGGTCTGAACAGTCTGTAAAGAACGCTACATCTTGATGATCTGCACCAATCATACACTTCATCGCCCAGAGAAGAGCCTCGACTTCGGCATGTAGTGGAGATAGACTTCTACGGAGGTTCGCAGCTCTCCATTTGACGATGTACAGAACCACCCTGTACCGAAGAACTTATCACTTTCTTTCCACGATTCATCCACGAAACAACGATATAATGAATAGTTCGAATCAAAAGAAACCTCCCTCACTCGGGACAGAGTTGCCGAACTCACAACACCATGATTTTCTTCTTGGAACTCTAATTGAGCTGCTTGCCATAATTGTGCCTCTTTTCTGCTAACCGTAATACCTATAACGGGTCTTTATCTATATTTTCAAAGATTTTTGTTGGCGAGTTTTGTGTTTAACGATTAAATTGTTGTACCTTTTACTTGTTTCAGTAGATTTTTTTTTTTCAGTTACTCGTGTATTTCTATAACGTTTGTAAAAACTAAATACTTGAGATATAGAAACATTATAGAAATACACGAATAACAGAAAAATCGAAAATCTACCGAAACAAATAACGAACATCAAAAATTACAAACACCTACTATCATAGAGATTTCGGTTTTTCTGTAAAAACTTAACATTCATAAAAAAGAAATAGAATGAAAAATCTAAATAAATTTTGATTTTTTATTATATATATTTCTTTCTGAAATATCCTAGGAATTATAAAACATGTGAAAAGATGAGTCATGATGACCATTATACAGGGATACATGTATAGTGACTGCTACAGTCACGGCGTCAACGTTGACAGGCAGTTGATATCGGAGACTCTGTTATCTCGCCGTTAAATATTTCTATCGAAAAAGAATAATAAAAAAATTAAATACATATTTGTTCGATTTGGAGTTCTCGGATGTTGAGAATCTCCGATCGGCGATGAAAGGCGTCTCATCGGCGCCTGGAGATTACGTCTACTTTAAATCTCAGGTTCCTCTTCACAAGATTCCCGTAAGTCTCTTCTTCTTCTTCTTCCTCTCTCTGTCTCTTTGACTTTCTGCATTTGTTTACGCTTTAGAATTAGGTTTAATATCAAGCTCTTGAGGTTTTTGGAGAATTGTCTTAATTTCCGATTTATCTCTTATGGGTTTTAGGAGAAATCTTTCTGTGAGTGTGTAGTTCGATCATAATTGGGTTTATGCAGCTGAAATTCATATGATTTGGGTTAATTTTTGATTGAACCCTCTTCTTTGTCAAATTTGTTAGTATTGACATTTGGTTTCTTGTTTAAGAGCTAGTTTTTAGTTTAGTGATAGTGTCTCTCCGTTTTGATCTTTTATCTTCTGCAGATTCCTCTAGGGTTACCTTTGATTTGATCTATGAGTAGACTGCTACACAGTTAGTGAATTGTTTAGGTTTCTCTGGTTAAGTAAAGGAAGGTTTTTGAGATTCTTGTTCTGTATGATAGGTTAAGAAGGTTATTTATCAAGCAGCTAAAACAGCTATTTAATGGTTCTATAAATTTGTCGTTTTATCGGATTTTGTTGCTTCTAGTTGGGAAAATTGTAATTTGTTAAGCTGTGTAGATGTATTTCCTTTGTTTCAAGCATCAGAATGAACGATTTCATTATTTATGGTATTTGGTTTTTTGGGAATGTGATTATGTTAGTGAATAAACAATCTTTATATGCAACTCAACTGCAGATTGGGACAAAGCAATGGCGTTACTATGACTTTGGTCCAAAGACTGTTCCTCCGCTCATATGTATTCCTGGAATCGCAGGAACTGCAGATGTTTACTATAAACAGATTATGGCACTCTCTATGAAGGTAACAATCCTTTGTTCTTATCACTTGTAGCCTTGAACATTTGTTAGGCTATGGTAACTAAGATATCTTGTTTTCTTGAATGTTGAACTTGTTTTCTTAAATGTTGTTAAATCTGTAATTCCAGGGTTATCGGATAATCTCAGTTGACATTCCACGGGTTTGGAATTATCATGAGTGGATTCAAGCATTTGAGAAATTCTTGGACACCATTGATGTTCATCACGTAAGATCTATTTAAGTTACAATCACCATCTACGTTCCTAAATTTTTTTTATTGGTGCGGAAAGATATGACATTGTAAGTGATTGTACTTGACCATTGTTAACAGGTGCATCTCTATGGTACCTCCCTTGGAGGCTTCTTAGCACAACTGTTTGCTCATCACCGTCCAAGGCGGGTTAAATCATTAGTTCTATCAAATACATATTTGGATACTCGCACTTTTGCTGCTTCTATGCCATGGGCTCCTTTGTATGTCTCTCTTATATGCTTGTTCCATCTTTATTTTTCTTGTTTGTGACTAAGAATTTGTACTGACTCTCAACGCTTTTTGGGGTGCACTGTGCAGTGTTAGTTGGACTCCTTCTTTTTTGCTGAAACGATACGTCTTAACAGGAATACGTGATGGACCTCATGAACCCTTTATCGCTGATTCTGTCGACTTTGCTGTTTCTCAGGTGGCTCCCCTGATTATTTTGTCTTTGATATTTTCTTGAACGGATCTAAATAACATGTGAACAAGGTTCCTTTGGTTTACTCTGATTTAGGTTGAGACATTGTCAAAAGATGATTTGGCTTCCCGGTTAACTTTAACAGTGGATGCTGCTTCTGTGGGATCTCTACTACTCTCTGATTCGTCAATCACTATAATGGATGTAGGTTTCGATTAACTATATCCGGGACTTGTCGTATTATCAATGTAATTTAGTTTTTCGTTGTCTAACGATGCTGTTTTGTCTCCAAAATCAGACGAATGATTACTGCGCAATACCACAACATCTTAAAGATGAACTTACAGAGAGGTATCCTGAAGCAAGGAGAGCTTACTTAAAGACTGGAGGAGATTTCCCATTCCTATCACGGCCCGATGAAGTCAATTTGCATCTACAGGTACATATCTACTCAGTATCCACAGCCCAATGATAAATATACAATACTCGGTATCTACAGCCCAATTTATATACATTTTAGTTATTTTCAAGAAATTATGAACCTCTAAAAGAAACTTGAAACTTCTCTACCTATTTTTTAGGTTATATACCGTTGAAGGGATTTTTTTTCAATCAAACCGGTTTTATTGCTTGGTAAAGGAACATCCTGTTACTGCATCAGAAAATTATAATCATATGATGAATCTCACTCTATGTTTGTAGCTGCACCTAAGGCGGGTAGGAGTAGAGCCACGACCCGAAGTGGTTAAAAGCATTTCAAAAGGCGGCGCAGATGGCACAGACGGAAGCAGCCAGAGCAAGAAGAAGACTGATGAGGAGAAGGACGACCGTAACAACAATATGCCTCAAGGCTCTGGAAGCTCATCTTCAGATCAATCACCGACATTTCCAGAAAGTTCCGGAAGCTCCAATGATCCGCCGTTACCCACAGACACCATTCAGTTGCATAGTTCATCAATGAACAAACTCATATTTGTTCAACTCGCTGGTGAAGTTTATCAGTCCTGTGTGGTTCTCACGTTGTGTTACTGTACATTGGTTTTGGTTCACGGTGGTGGTTTTATCTCCAGACAATTGGTT